AGTGCAGAGAAAAACTTAAAACATTTTTCTGAAGATTTGGAAATAAATCTCCCCAAAACTGCAATTCTTCCCGTTAATCTTTGAACTTCCTTTTTATTAGTAAGGATATCAAGGATTTCTTGNGTGTGTGTGTGTGTGTGTGTGTCATGGGTAAAATAAAATATGTAATTGTGTAATTGGGCCCGGGTCCTATACAATTGATTGTCTATTGGGCCTTTTATTTAGATGGACTACCAGATTGGGCTCTAACACCACTCCTCAAGCTTGAGGGTGAAGAAACACCAAGCTTGCTAAGAATACCATAATGAAGCTGAGTAGACAAGGCCTTGGTCATAATATCGGCCAACTGATCTGCACTGGAAACAAAGTGTAAAGAAATAAGTCCAGCATATACACATTCACGCACATAATGGCAATCAATCTCAATATGCTTAGTTCTCTCATGGAAGACAGGATTCTTGGCGATATGTAGAGCAACCTGACTATCACAATACACAGGAACAAGATTGGAGATAGGCAAGTCAAGGTCACCAAGTAGTTTGATCAGCCAAGCTATTTCAGCAGCAGCTTTCCGCAGAGCTCTATATTCATCTTCTGCTGAAGACAGGGATATAGTAGGTTGTTTCTTGTTCTTCCAAGAAACAGGATTATCACCAAGAGTGATGTAATAACCACTGACAGGCTTGCGAGAAATAGTGCAAGAACCCCAATCAGAATCAGAGAAGCCCATAAGAGACATGCCAGGAGAATTGGAAAGCAAGATACCCTGTGTAGGGTCATTCATGAGATACCTTGAAACATGAAATGTAGCTATCATGTGTGGAACCTGAGGATGTTGAATAAATTGACTGAGATACTGAACAAAGAAAGAGATGTCAGGCCTTGTGTGTCGTAAAAAATTCAACTTCCCAATCAGCCTTCTATACATGCTAGGATCAGAGACAGGTGACCCTATATCCAAATGAAGTTTGATAGAAGGATCCAGAGGTGTGAAAACAGGAGAAAAATGATGGCAGTTGAACTCAGCTAGGAGATCAGTGGTGTACTTGGACTGGGTCATAAGATAGCCTTGAGGATGAGATGAGATCTCCAATCCAAGAAAGTAATGAAATGTTCCCAAGTCATTGATTTTAAACTGGTTGTCCAGAAATAACTTCAAGGAGTCTAACTCAGTAACATCATCCCCAGCTAGCAATATGTCATCAATATAGACAGCCATAACAACAAGAGAACCAGATGAAGATTTAGTGAACAAAGAGTAGTCATTGAGACTAGAAATGTAGCCCCTAGAATGCATTGCTTCAGACAGTTTAGAAAATAACTGTCTGAAAGCCTGCCTGAGGCCATATAAAGATTTCTTGAGTCGACAAGCCAAAGTAGTCGAGGCAGAAGTAGAAGAGACATCCAGACCAAGAGGAATCTTCATATAAACCTCCTCATGAAGGTCACCATACAAAAAAACATTATTGACATCTAGCTGATAAACAATCTAGACTCTTTTAACAACCAAAGTAAGGAGACACTTGATGATGGACAATTTAACAACAAGGGAAAAAGTTTCAGTGAAATCAATACCCTCATTTTGAGTATCACCCCTGATGACCAACCTTGCCTTGTACCTTTCAATGGAACCATCTGCCCTCTGTTTAATCTTGTAAACCCACTTACAAGGAATAACTTTCTTGTGTTGAGGGAGTGGAACAATGTCCCAAGTCTGGTTAGACTCAAGAGCTTGGAATTCCTTTAGCATGACCTCCTGCCAAGGAGGATGTAAAGCTGCCTGCTGGTAGAACTGAGGCTCATGCTTATGCAACTCAATTTGGGACACCTTAGAAAGGTCAGGGAGAGGAACATGGGGTAGGACAGAGGTACAAATGTAATATTTGATATAAGAGGGCTGAGTAACAACTCTAGTGGATTTCCTGAAGCTTGAACAGGTACAGTAGGTAAGTGAGGACTGGGTGAATATGTGGAACAGTTGTCAGGGGGAGAAGTGGGAAGACTGGTAGAAGGTAGAGAGGAAGAGGCAGATGTAGGAGGAAGGTCCGCAAAAGGTTGTGGTGGAGAAATATGAACAATATGGTTGGAAGAGTGAAATGGGAAGATATGTTCATGAAACACAACATCCCAAGAATAAAAAATAGAAGAAGTAGAAAGATTTAAAAATTTGTAACCCTTTTTACCTAATTCTGGGAGAAGTAGCAAAGTACAAGAAACCAAAAAATCTTAAGTAAGCATAAGGAGGTGGGTGACTGTGTAATTTTTCAAAAGAAAAAATGTTATTTAAGATAGCTAAAGGCATTCTATTATGGAGATTAGTAGCAGTCAATACACAGTCTTCCCAAAACTTGAGAGGTAGTTTAGATTGAAAAACAAAAGCTCTAAAAATTTCTAAGAGATATTTATGTTTTCTCATCACAACTCCATTCTATTGTGGAGTGTGAGGGATGGTGGTTTGATGAAAAATTTCTTGGTTAGCAAAGAAAGAAGCAGCTTCATGACTGCTACCAAATTCATAAGTATTATCATATCTGAAGGTTTGAACTGAAGAATGAAAATTGACATTAACCATGGAAGTGAAAGCTTTAATGATAGGGAGTGCATTGATTTTGCAGGATAATAGATGGGATCAGATGGCTCTACTATAATCATCAACTAAGGTTAAGAAATATCTGAAACCATTGTAAGTTTTAGAGTTATAAGGCCCCGAAACATCAATATGTACTAGTTGAAATGTGGCAGTTGAATGAATTTTACTATCAGGGAAAGGCAGCCTTTGATGTCTTGCCATTGGGCATATTGAATAAATAAAAGATTGCTTAGAAAAAACTTTATCAGATATGAAAGGAATAGACTTTATTCTATGAAAAGGCATATGACCCAATCTTTGATGCCAAAACAGGTCTATTTTATTTACAATAGGTGTCTGATCACATGGAATAATATTTATAGAAGAAATGGTGGACTCAGACTTATTATATGACACAGAACTAGAAAAAAAAAATATATCTGGATTAGATAATAAATCAGCATCAAGATGAAGATAGTACAACCTTCCAGCAGCCTTACTAATTACCAGTGGCCTCTTCAGAGAAGGGCCCTGTAAAGAACAATTGAACTTGGTAAGAATAGCTATACAATTCAATTGAGAAATCAACTTATGTATAGAAATCAGATTGAAGTGGAGTCATGGTACAAGGAGGACATTAAGTAAGGTGATGTAATGTCTAAGTAGTAGAGAACCAATTAATATTACCTTAACTTTATATCCATTAGGTAAAGTAACCCAAAAAGGTTTAGGTAGGGGTACAAGATTGTGAAGTAAGTGTTTATGTGGAGTCATGTGGTTTGTTTCCCCTGAGTCTAATATCCAAAGATTTATTCCTAACTGAGAGGTCGCACATACAAGAGAATTATCAGAATCAACAGCATAAGCAGTAAACAAACCTGCAAAAGTGTGCAAAGCCAGAGTTCTCAGTAGGAAAAGTCTCAAAACTAGTACCAAGATACATTTGAACTTGTTGGAATAAAGTCATCAGGTGATGATATTGTTCCTTTGTGAACCCATGAGGAGAACTGTCAGAAGATTGAGATGTAGGAATACTTTGCAGACCATGAGGAATCTCAGTCTGAACAGAAGAGGCTGACTTCTTATTTTTAGTAAACTTGAAGTCTGCAGGGAACCCATGTAACTTGTAGCACTTGTCTACTGTATGATCAGGTTTCTTACAATACTTGCAAGAAACAAAAGACATATTCTTCCTAGAGTCTAAATTGACCTTTTGTGTGAAAGTTTTATTTGTAGTGTTAGGAGTTGAAGAAACAGAGAAAGAAGGAGGATCAGTTGAGAAGTTTGGAGTAGTAGATGGAGTTTCCGTTTGGCTTTCATCCTGCCGTAGGAGAGAGTAAGCCTTGCTGATAAGTGGCAGGGGCTTCATGATCATTATTGTACTTTTCATAGTTGAGTAGGAGTCATTGAGCCCATTTAAGAACTGGAAAACCTGTTGATCTTCTATGAACTTGGGAAGGGCTCCACAAGAACATTTGGTCCCTACATACGAGGAGTTCAACTCATCCCAAAGGTTTCTAAGTTTGGTGAAGTATGTGGCAATGTCTGAAGACCCCTAAACAGTACCACTTGTTTCTCTCTGAATATGGAGAATATTGGATCAACTGGATTCTCCAAATCTCTCATTGATATCAGTCCAAACTTCTTTGGCAGTTCTAAAGCATGTAACACTTATAACAATATCTCGAGATACAGAATTGGTGATCCAGGCTTTCACCATATCATTGCATCTCTTCCAGTAAGAATAATAAGGTGAATTATGGCTAGGTTGATTGATTCTACCATCTAAAATCTCTAATTTATTTTTGGCTTAAAGAGAAGTGAGCATACTGTTCCTCCAAAGCACAAAACCATGGCCATCAAATGACACAGGTATCAATTGGCTACCAGGACTATCAGAGGGATGTACATAGAATGGATGAGAGGGATCGAGTGTAAAATGTGCAAATCCATCAGGTATAGAAACTGAACTATCACCAGTACTACCTATATCATGTACTAATTAGAGATAATTAATAGACGAAATCCTTATTCATACATCTGAGGACGACTAAAAAAATAACGACATGCAAACAGGTAACTCATACGATTTAAACCCTAAGATATATCAAAATAGTCCTGAAGTGTGTTGATTAGAGTGATATCACTAGCCTTCCTCTGAAAAACCCAAAGAAGTGAGGCCTTGTATGTACAACAGAAACCCTAGCTTGAATCGATCCGAAATTTCAGTTGAAATTCTCGCAGAAACGTAACTCCTCAACAATACGAGTGTACTAGGGATTCGAAGAAAGAAATCTAAGCTTTTCCGACCAGAGATGAAAACGCCAACGGAATCCCCGATTTTAACAATAAATCAACTTTGTTTGGAATCTCTGAGTAAATCTCCATTGAGAATGAAGCTCATGACACGGAGAATCAGAATTCCCGCTCTGATACCATGTTATGGTGAAGCTCAGACGAGCTTTGGAGGATGAATGAACGAGAAAACCCTAGAAGGGCCGAGAAGAAGAAGAGATAGAGACAGAGAAAATATAAAAGAGAAAATAACCATATGTCTTTCTTTATTTCATTAATGTGTATATATATTTTGATCAATAAAATGTGTAATGGGTAAAATAAAATGTGTAATTGTGTAATTGGGTCCGGGTCCTATACAATTGTCTATTGAGTCTTTTATTTAGATGGACTACCAGATTAGGCTCTAACAAAAACTTTGAAAATAGTTTAAATTCTCGATCGTCTTTGTGTTCAACACTACCTTCCTATCTACTTTGGAGGACAAGAGAAAAATACCAATACAAAGAAATTGTCAAAAGCTTTCAATTTACATTGAAAGGCTGAGAGCTAGATCTATGCATTCTCATCTTAATAGCTTTGTCCATTTCCTTCATTCGTTTTTGTAAACCCTCAATAATGACTTTGTAGCTTGAAATGATACGGCATTTCAGAATTTTGGAACCTACGAAGGTTCCAACGATTAGTACTAGTATTTCGACGGGAACGAGGAACAATATGCTCCATCCCAAGAGTCTATCTTAGCAGATACGTGTCTGCTTATCGTTCTTATAAATTGGTTGCTTGACTAAATAAGTGCATATAGACATACATAACCGACAAATAAGCTCTTTGTTATCATATCACTTTACCAAGGGAAAAGGCCCAAAAATGACCTTGTGGTATTCGAAATGGATCAATTATAACTCCCGTTTTAAATTGAGCCTACTAATACCCCTACCGTTAAAGAATGAGCCTAATTCTACCCTTTTCCACTAACAGCTACTACTTAAAATATTTATTTTGTCCAAAAAATCAGAAAATGACACGTGTCTTAATCAACCCACCCCCAATATTATTTTACCAGCCCCACCTTACTTATTTCACCCACCCCTCCTCACCTTTTTACCCCCCTTTCACTTAATATCTTTTAACCTAAAAAATCAGACATTTCTTTGTTATTTCCCACCATTTTTCTTCTCTTGTTCAATCGGCTCTCCTAGGGTTTTCTGACTAGTGAAGTACGGTGGATCGAAGGAGAATTCCAACTGAAGTTCCGTCTGAAGAGTGATATAATACATCAAGGTAAGTTGTATTTTACTCTTTTATCTTGATTTAAAAATTTTCAGGGGGGTTTTAGGTTTGTTTAATACATATGTATAAAGGCCATGTGCATTTATTTGATATGCATGTTATACATAAATGACTGATTTGGACTCTGTTTTTTTTTGTCTCCTCTTTTACATGTGACCCACTGTTGAAGGATGATTGATAAAGTCGATATTATTTTCAATTATGGGGGTGATTGGGTAATTTCTCCTGTGTCTGAATTCACAGTCAATGCACAAGACACTACATACCACACTGAAACTTATGGTGTAGATGTTGAAGTAGCCAGTGATTGTGAACATAGCCTTGGTTCCTATGATTTTTCTGAATCTGATTGTAATGGCTATGATTATGAAGAACTTGAGAGTATTAACAAGCAAAGGAGGAGAGTAGTGTCTGATAGGTTAGAAAACTTCAAGGAGTTGGAGCTTGGGATGACATTTAAGGACATGAAGGAAGCTAGACAATTTATCAATTTCTATGCTTTAGCTAACAAGAAAGGGTTGTGGGTTGTTAAAAGTGACTCAACAAGAAGTAAATATAAGTATGATACAGGTTGCCCATTTGTATGTCTCATATCCCAGAATGGTAGGACTGTTGGGTACAAAATCAAAACCTTGAATCCAAACCATAATTGTAATCCTTGTTTCAAAAATAAGAGAGCTAGTGCAAAGACTTTAGCTCAATATTTTAAGAACAAGGTACAAGACAATCCAAAGTACAAGGTAAAGGATATGAGGGGAGAACTGGATACTGATTTAAGTTTGAATGTCACTAAGTCCACTCTAAAAAGGGCAAAAAGATTAGCTCTTGAGAAGCTAGAGGGTAGTTTTCTTGATGACTACAATAAGCTTGAGGCATATGGACAGGAGATTAAGCATAGTAATCCTGGTAGTGATGTAGTCATTAACATATCAAATGATGCTTTGGCTGAAGGAAAGAGAAGGTTTTTGAGGATGTACATATGCTTCCAAGCTATGAAGCATGGATGGAAAGATGTCTTAAGGCCACTAATAGGCTTGGATGGTACTTTTCTGAAGGGAAAATGTAAAGGTCAGTTGTTGGTTGCCATAGGGCAAGATTGTATGAACCAGTTCTATCCACTTGCTTGGGCAGTGGTGGACAAAGATTCTAGCAGAACTTGGAGCTAGTTTTTGGAGCTCTTAAAAATGTCTTTGGACTTGAAAGATGGTGCTGGAGTGACATTCATATCAGACATGCAAAAGGTTAGCCTTTCTAGAATTTATGTCTATGTGTTTATGATTATTTATTTTGTATTAAATAATTGTGTTTTTTTTTCTTCTGGTTTATGGTAGGGCTTGCTTGATGCTGTTAGTGCTGTACTGCGTGAAGCAAATAAAAGATTCTGTGTAAGGCACATTGAAGCCAATTGGTGTAAAAGATGGAGAAGTGGTGAAATAAAGAAACTATTGTGGTGGTGTGTCTGGAGCACCTATGAAGAGGAATTTAAGGATCAGTTGGTAAGCTTGGGAGAGCTTGATGAAGATAGTGCAAGGGACTTGGTCAAATATCCTCCAAAAGCTTAGTGCAGAGCATATTTTGACACTCAATGCAAGAACGTGATGGTAGACAATAATTTCACTGGTCTTTTAACTCATGGATCCTAGAGGTAAGACACAAACCAATTATCAAAATGCTAGAGGAAATCAGAGTCAAGGTAATGGAAATGTTAGCTAACAATGAAGAAAAGTTGAGGAGCTGGAATGGTCATTTCAGTCCACAGTGTTTGAGGTTATACAATGACTACAGGGTAGTTGCACAAGGTTGTGTAGTTATATTTGATGGTGATTATGGCTATGAGATAGCAGAGGGTGAAGATACACATACTGTCAACCTTGATTCCAAAAGATGCACCTGTAGGCTATGGGAGTTGAGTGGAATTCCATGCCCTCATGCTATCAAAGCATTGACACACAAGAAAGTGGAACCCCTAACGGAAATTAATTGGTTTTACAGCAGAGAAGCTTACTTAAGAACATATAGGCACAAGTTGTTTCCTGTGAGAGGGCAAAAATTCTGGAAAATAGATCATTCACAATATATGGAACCACAAAAAATTATGAAATTGGTTGGAAGGCCCAAGGTAAAGAGAAACAGGGAGCCAGATGAGGCAAGAAAGAGAAAGGGAGAGTGGAGTGCTTCTAGAAAGGGTCTTCCAGTCACATGCAACAAATGTGGTGAACTTAACCACAATGCAAGAAGATGTTATAAGGTAAATCATTTATATAGAGTTTAGGATAAATTTTTTATTTAAGTATTTGATTAATATTTGCCTTATTCAAATTTGTTAGGACAACTTCACTGAAAAGGCATCACAACAGAGGAAAGGGAAAGGTTGCAGTCAAACTCAAAGTCAAAGCTCAGTTGGTAATGATAACCAAAGTGTTCCTTATGAAGACCATTTAGATGCTGGAACACAACAATCATTTGCATCCGTGTTTGACACTCAAACTGGAATGCAATAGTTGTTTGCATATGGTCCAGAAGTTGAAAATGAAGAAGACCCCCTCTTGAGGCCAATGGTTGTGTCTGAGACACAAACATGGCTAGAGCCAAGAAAGACAAATCATGTTGCACCAGTGGCAAGAGCTAATACAAGGAAGATCCAGTTTAGAGGAGATCACATTGGTGCTTCAAATCCAACTAACTTGCCTTATTCGCCAATCAAGTGCACATGGAAGGGAAAAGAGGCAATGACATTAAGCCAGCTACAAGAAGAAGGACGAAAGAAAATAATCAAAAGTATGGGAAGCAAAGGGAAGGGAGCACTTGCATAATATAGTCATGATGGATGGTTTTTGAAGATCTTGTGATTTTTGTAATTGAAATGTGGCTGAAACTTGTGCTTTTTATGAATTTAAGCAGCTAAAACTTGTGTTTTTTGTGATTTCATATGGTTGCAACTTGTACTTTTTGGGGGTTAACCACCTGTAGGTTTTAGGTAGCTTTGAAACTTGGTATTTGTGGTTAACCAATTATAATGGTTATGACAGCTATTCTGGTTGAATTTAATATATCACAATGGATGTACAATCTCCCCTAAGTATCTTGTTTATGTTGTGTGTGATTATGGCATTTTTATTTGTTATGTTCTCTCGACATTTTTGTTTTTCCCCTTTTCTTGGTCACTTATCTCCATGACCAAAATGTTAGATTTAACAGAATGAAGAAAACAAAAGGTCATTCATGTTGTGTTGTGATATTATATGGGAATAAGATCTTCAACAAATTCAATAGCCTAGCTACATGTGAATGAATTTTACTGGAAATATATTTTTTCCATACTTGTGTATTCTAGCAACTTAAGGAAATTAAATCAACATTCAAGCATTTTTCTAAGAGATTAGAAGGAAAACAAGATCATTACAATCCTTATAACTATTCAACAAAATACACTACACGAATTAATACATTACACAGATTAACTATAATTCTATCCTAAATTCATACTTCATAAAAACAACCATAATGCAATGAATCCAATCAAGCATCCACATAAGACATAAATTAACATCCATTGATGGGCTACAGCTTTGCTCAATGTTGCAATAGTTCCAGCATCAATAGCAGCAGCAGACTCAACCTCAACAATCTTCTTCTTCAAAATATTTCTTTCAACAACTTTTTCGTTCAATTTTGCTATAGCTCGAGCCTCAACGCCAACAACAACATCATAATCGGTCATCTTCTTCTTCAAAATATCTCTTTGCATTTCAGTAGTTTTCAATTTTCTTTTAAGACTACTAATCAAAATCACAACTCTTGGAGGTAATTCATCATCCTGCCACTCCCAATAACCACATGATTTCTTCTGTAAAAATAATGCAACAAAAATAAACCCAAATATTTCATGAGAATCCTAAGAACGCTACAAGTAAAGCTTTTGAGAATTCAAAGAACGCTATTAGCCATATATAAAACTTACCTCAGGTTTTGGGCACTTAAAAAAGCGTCTACCCGTATTTTCAGAAGTATATGCCGTAAAATAGTGGGCAATAAGACCACAAAGACACCTCTTCTTCGACCCATATGATGAACTAGAACAATGAGACATACTTATCAATGGACCAAGGGATTAACCAAGTAAGGAGGCCGAAAATAATGGTGGAAGCCTAATCTAATTTGGAATTGAAGAAAGCTTGAAATAGTGAATCCTATCAAACAAATGCACATGGCCTTTATACATATGTATTAAACAAACCTAACCCCCCCTGAAAATTTTTAAATCAAGATAAAAGAGTAAAATACAACTTACCTTAATGTATTATATCACTCTTCAGACGGAACTTTAGTTGGAATTCTCCTTCGATCCACCGTACTTCACTAGTCAGAAAACCCTAGGAGAGCCGATTGAACAAGAGAAGGAAAATGGGGGGAAATAACAATGAAAGGTCTGATTTTTTAGGTTAAAAGATATTAAGTGAAAGGGGGGTAAAAAGGTGAGGAGGGGTGGGTGAAATAAGTAAGGTGGGGCTGGTAAAATAATATTGGGGGTGGGTTGATTAAGACACATGTCATTTTCTGATTTTTTTGGATAAAGTAAATATTTTAAGTAGTAGCTGTTAGTAGAAAAGGGTAGAATTAGGCTCATTCTTTAACGGTAGGGGTATTAGTAGGCTCAATTTGAAACGGGGGTTATAATTGATCCATTTCGAATACCACAAGGTCATTTTTGGGCCTTTTCCCCTTTACCAATGATTAAATGAGTTGATGAAGTGAAAATGTATAGTACTAATTAACCATCATTTAAGTGAAAGTTCAAGGTCGAAATTTTCAAATCATTCAAAATCTAATTTCTAGTTCACTATTCTTATGATAAGAAGTTATGTCCTATTCATATGATGAGAAAGCTGAGAATGAAAATTAACAAACTTCACATTTGTGGCAGACATGAGACTAAGCTTCTCCCTTGTCTCTTGTCATTAGCTAATAATGAAGCAAATCCCTAAGTCAAAGTAGTCCATAAAAGCATTTATACTGAGAGAAGCTTATGTGCAAACACATGTTATTAATCCATCTATTCCTTTGATATAAATTCTTAGCATGGAGCTGTGGATGAATTTTTACCCCAAAATCCTACTTTGAGGGAGTAACATCTTTAGATTAAGCTCCTTTCAATCGACAATTTACAGAGTACTTTAGACTTCTATTTCTGTTTATGTCCAAGTTGTTGCCACCACAATCTTTGATTCATTGTTTGAATAGAGACTAAGCATCATTCGTTGGTTATCTTAACATTTTCTGCAACATTAAACTCTACATAAGGGTATATTAAAAGAGGTGCACATTCCGCACCTTAATTGTGGAAAAAAGAATATTGACGCAATGAAGGTGCTTCTTCGCCAAGTAAATTTATAACTCAAAAGAATATTATTGTTGATAACCTTCAAACACTAAAGTTAGCGTCATTACCTTGGGATGTTACCCTTTGGATTGAACTTTAAGCAAACATTGGATCAACATGTAAGTTAATGATAGGATTTAGTCGATCTTTGTCCAACAAAGGTTGTCCAAAAGACAACTTTGGTCTATTTGTTCAGAAGAACTTGCAACAGAGTTTATTCATGGTATTGCTGTTAGTATCATTGGTCGATCTTTGTCCAACAAATAGGATGTTTCAGATCAGCGCGTAAAAATAGTTATTTTCTTGAAAAAAGACAAGTATTGAAAGTTGTTTAGAGGTCAATTTTTGTATTTGAAGAAAATGCCAAAAAGTGCATAACCCAATGGCCTGGAGAAGGCAATATCAAACAAAAACAACACTAATTTAATCAGGATGATGAGGAGTTTGCCGTCCCCTGAAATTTCAAACTCAAAACCTGTCACCATCCCAGAAACTTAGAAAAATAATAATTTATTGTGTTGTTCATTGCACTCTTTAACAATCGTGACACGCCAGAAAACAAGTCAAATAACAGCACGAATCAAAGACAAGATTACCAGCTTTAAAAATAATATCTGAATACAACAGCATAACTTCCAAAATAAAAGCAACTTTGTCCCTTAAAAATGCCCAGTTCTGTCTCTTTTCGCTAGAAAAAACCTTTTGCTCTCATTTCTTTTAGCAGCCAAGTGTCTAATAATAAAACACAGTAACATATTCACATCATAAACTCTTCTCTGTTTGCATAGTGAATGATCAAACACCAAAATAGTCTCTCCTATCATCCTTCTTCTTGGTTTTCAGATACAATGACCATTGACGAGCCTGAGCCTAATTCCAATTCCGACCCCATCTCAGAGTGGCTACGTACTTTATCTGATGTTCCAACCTTCTTCGACGAACCTTATAATTACCCCGAGGATTTAAATTTCTATGGAGACTCATGGTGGATTCCTCTAAATCAAGATACGCATATCGTTAATCACGACATCAGCGACAACAATATTTGTACTTCATTCAACTATAGCTCCCCGGTCAACGCAGCAACTAGCACAATGCCTCCCGAGCCTATCATTTTGGATCATCCACAGCCGTTGGATCTGTCCAAGAAGAGGAAAACATCAGGCTCTGATCATAATCCAAAGGTGTCAAGGAAGAATCAGAACCGTCAGATGAATGAGGTAGATGAAATCAAGAAATCAACAGGACAGAAGAGAGTAACAAACAAATCGACAACAAATAACGGTAACAGCAAAGAAGGAAGATGGGCAGAGCATTTGCTCAACCCTTGTGCTGCAGCTATTACTGTTGGTAACATGAACCGCGTGCAACATCTGTTGTACGTTCTCCACGAGCTCGCGTCGTTCACATGCGACGCGAACCATAGGCTCGCAGCTCATGGACTCCATGCGCTGACACATCATCTCTCTTCCCCTGGCTCATCCTCTTCATCTGTTGCTGTTACTAATTTCGCTTCTGCAAATCATAAATTCTTCAGGGACTCATTGATCAATTTCAATGATATTAGTCCCTGGTTCCGAATCCCGAATAACGTCGCCAACTCATCCGTTCTACAAATTCTTGGAGAACGGGATAAGCTAAAGAACCTTCACATCCTTGATATTGGAGTCTCTCACGGCGTTCAGTGGCCAACTCTTCTTGAAGAGTTGACTCGACGATCAGGTGGGCCACCACCGTTAGTTCGACTAACGGTTATTACGCCCACCATTGAGAACGGAGAATTCAGGGGCACCCCATTTGTGATCGGCCCGCCTGGTTACAATTTTTCATCGCAACTACTAGCCTTTGCTAAGGCTATTAACATCAATCTACAGATCAACAGACTGGACAATTTCCCTCTTCAGAATCTTAATTCTCAAGTCATAAATTCTTCTTCGGATGATGAAACATTAGTCATCTGTGCTCAGTTTAGACTCCACAATTTGCATCATAGTAACTCGAATGAAAGGACAGAGTTGTTGAGAATATTGAAGAATTTGGAGCCGAAAGGAGTAGTTCTCAGCGAGAATAACATTGAGTGTAGCTGCAATAGTTGCGGGGACTTTGCAACGAGCTTTTCAAGGCGAGTGGAGTACTTATGGAGGTTTTTGGACTCGACAAGTGTAGCGTACAAAGGGCGTGAGAGCGAAGAAAGGAGGATGATGGAAGGAGAAGCAGCAAAGGCGCTAACGAACACGGGAGAAATGAATGAAAGGAAGGAGAAATGGTGTGAAAGAATGAGGAGTGTTGGATTTGTGAAGGAGGTGTTTGGAGAAGACGCCATTGACGGGGCTCGGGCGTTGTTGAGGAAGTATGATAGCAATTGGGAGATGAGAGTGGAAGAGAGAGATGGCTGTGTTGATCTATGGTGGAAAGGGCAGCCTATTTCATTCT